GTTCACGTGCGAGGCATAGAGATGCAACTAGCTGCTAGTAAATGTTATAAGAATTTTTTTATTATCAGTTATATAATATACGTATATATATATAAAGAAATTGCTGATACCGAATTTCCACAAATTCTATATTAAAAAAAAAGGGGTTTCGGCTAAAATGAAGAGATTACATATAATTTGGTCTAACCCATAATATTTTGGTTGCTTCGAATCGGTAATATACGGTAATGTACCTATATTTAAAATGTCTCCATTTCTTTCTGACTGTTGCTCATAATCTTAATTCACTGTTTACCTTTCTGAAATTTTTCTTATTATGATATGAAAATTACAAGTTATACTTTATTCCGCAAAGTAAGAACTTTATCTGTACTATAGAATACGTATATATATATATATATATATATATATAGCTATTTTACTATATTTATTATTCGAATTTATTTTTCATCAGCACATACAATTTGCATTTTATTGGTCAAAGCAATCATCATACATACGTACGATCGCGGTACCGATACATGTGATTATGATCGAAATAAACTTAAATTCTGTGCGTGACAATTCTAGGACCTTTACAGAATATTGTTACTCAAGATCACGGGAACTATCCTTCAAATTATAAATTTGTCAAATGCAGTTGGTCGAATGATCAAAAATGTCGTTCGTATTCATACTAACAACCTGCTTCTTTCTCATATTCTTGAATACAATATTTATTTACTATGTTATAATATCATCCAAAAAATATGTTGTAAATATGATTACCGGACTAAATGTGCTATTAGTCATTTCACATCCAGATGATGAATGCATGTTTTTTGGTCCTACTTTATTAGAATTGGGCGATAGGGAATATAAAAATAGAATGCATGTCTTGTGTCTATCTGTTGGTTAGTTTTATCGAATGTAATTATGCAATGTTCAATCTTGTTACTATTTCGATTTTGTTAAATCTTCTTATTTGAATGATCATTACAAATAGGAAATGAATCTGGACTTGGAAAAATCCGAAAGAAAGAGCTTGAAGCTAGTTGTACTTCTTTAGGAATTGATGTCAAATTTGTCAAATGGTTGGATCATCGGTGAGTTTTTTATCATCCTGTATCCAAATTTTAATAGGTGACATCTTATTTTATATGTTTATTTTTTTCAATTGGTTGTGATTTAGTGAATTGCAAGATGGCCCGAAAAATGATTGGAATCCTGAATTAATCTCTTCTATCATTGAAGAGTATGTTGAAAAAAACGGAATTGATGTGGTATGTTTCAAACTGTAAATTAATTTTCCAATTTACATCCATTCATCTAATAAATTGCATTATAGATAATTACTTTCGATAATAAAGGAATTTCAGGACATCCAAACCATTCAGCTGCATATAATGGTGCTAGGTAACTACTATTAATTCCATAACTTTAATTTAATATTTTAATATTTAATCTAATTGTTTCTTAATTTCATTATTATAAGAAATTATGTATTATCAAAAATCACGTCTAAATTTAAAACTTCAAAACCCGGTTCTTCAAAATCCAAATTATTACGACTATACAAGCTTAAAACTGTCAACATCATAAGAAAATATATTTCTATTCTTGATCTTTTACCAACTTATTTTATTCATAATTATATTAATATTATGTCATTATTTTCGGAAAATACCTCTTATGAACAAAATATTCATGATAAAAATAAGCAAAAAAATCAAGAGATAATTGAGAAGGAAGATAAATTACTTAATCTTCCTAATTCTCTTCTCTTTGTGGCTACATTACAACAATATATTCGATCAAGAAAATCTATGAAATATCACAAATCTCAATTAGTTTGGTTTAGGTATTTGTATATTTTAGTGTCCAGATATATGGTTATCAATCAATTAGAAGTGGTAGAATCGTGACATAATATATTTTATGTTTTACGTAGCTTTTTAATTTAATAATCAGAATACAAAAATGCAATCATTGCTATCGGATAATATATAGTTATTCTGTTGGTGCGATCATAGTAAAGGTGCCGAATAAAATGTATTTTATTTTTAGCTATCAAAAAATAAAATTATTTAGTTATGTAATATTCTGTTACCATTTAAGTTTTTTTAAGTCCCGAAATCAAGTTAATTCCGAATCTAACTTTTTTCATATCCACCTACAACAATAACAATCAATAGTAATAATAATAACGATGATAATAATAACAACGATAATAATAATAATAATAATAATAATAATGATAATAATGATAATAATAATAATAATAATAATAATAATAATAATTTTGGATACTAAATAAAGAAAAAATTAGTCGTTAGCGTTAACGTTACGTAGCATTGTTAATCCATTTATGAGTATATACAGTATAGTTAGATTCTGAACGAATGCAAGGGAGAGGATATACGTAGAAAACTACTGGTTCCTGTTAATAGACTTGCTTTTTATAGAAAAAAATGAATGCATATTCTAATTTATCCTAATAAAAGTAAGGAAAGTTCTTAACATTTATCGTTATACATATTAAAATCGAATTTGGATATAATAATATTATTAATTCAATATGATCTTGGATACGTATTAAATAATTTTATATTAATAAATCTAAATTTGTATGGTGTATTTTTTATCGTTACTCATGTACAGTGTTGTGTGTCATAATTTAAAAAATCCTAACTTCCTAAAGAACGAATGATCGATCGACTCTGTTTATTGAATTTGTTGAACAATGGCAGCAGTTGATTAAGAATAATTGTTCACTCATCACATTCTTTGCAAGAACTTTAATATTATCATTATTCGTTTCGTACTAATACATATATAAAAAAAATTTTTTTTTTTTTATTATCTGTTATATGAACAATAAATGTATTATCAAATTTGTATTATCTTTACGGATTTAAAGCGTTAATAGTTATAAATCACGTGTTAAAATGTTGCCTATAAAGTTTTTAATTTGTACGTAGATAAATGGTTTTTATGATGCCTAAGATAAAATAAGGAGGTGAATGAACAAGAATAAGGCTAAATAGTTATTCTGCTGAATAAGTGAATGTGTGATTTGTGATATCGATATTAACTTTAAAAGATATCAATATATATTTATATTTAAATAACAATTTTAGGACAATCTTAACGTTAAGAAAATGTAAACCTTATGTCCTTAAGGATGTTCCGTTATGGCGTAGAAATTTATCCTCCAGAGTCATAGATGTAACCAATTAATTTTTTTCCATATTTATTATTTCAAAACTATTATTTAAAAATAATAGAAACAATACTAATAAAATATAAAAAAATAATGCAGCTTTTTAGTAACAAGAAAGTACACGTTCTAGAACCTAGAAAACTTATATATATATATGCTGGAAAAGGCCTTTTTTCTGTATTGCACTCGTTTTTACCTTTAACGACATTAAACTTAACACCAAAAGATTCCAACTAAAGCAACTCTTTTAAAACAAAAACTATAAAAAACCATGATTCCAGTTGTCACAGGTTCGTATTTTTCAAATAAAAAATTATTACATCAAAAGCATAACATAAAATTGTAATCTCATCTGTTCTCTTTTTTTGCAATTAGACATTTTTTTGCTACAAATATTCTACTGCCTTCGTCCACTCATACAAGTAATAATGATTCTATTTGTCACAATTTATGTCTCTTGGTATTTAAGTGAGTATTTTAACATATATAATATTTGACTATAAATCAGTTTCATGACCAGAAAAGAATATTTCTTAACCGTACTCATATTTATTATTTTTCTTTTATTACTCAGAACAAATAATCGAATTCATGACAGGTCTGCCAATATCCGCGATTTTCAGACCATCACCAAAAACGAGAAGAACTGTAAATATTTTCCAACAAGACATAAATGACGTAGAGCGAAATTTTCTATTCGAAAATGTACTTCGATCATTATGGATACCATTCAGAGTGCTTTAAAAATACTATATCAAGGTTCCTTTTGGTCATTACCTCATTATCAATCCGACTCACTATTGGACGGTAAAAGAAGCTGCGCTTCTTTATACGTTCAAATATGATAATCACATCAAGATGTCAGCGCGTGTAAATTTGTGTTGGTGCTGAGATCAATACATATAATCAATTCATTTTAATACTAATAATCTAATTTTAAAGACAATTCTAAAATTGTTTCAATATATTTATATATATATATATATATAACTGTAATATTTTAATCAAATCGAATTTACTGTATATTGGAACTCATAATAGGAATGAATCCTCATTTAAATGAAATAAACAAATTGATTTTTGCATATTAAACAAAAGTGTTCATTTTTTAAAAATATTTCCAATAAATCTAGATCTGAGATGCAAGATTGCAAGATATTTTACTGTAGTAGCTAGCATGAGTGATGAATTTTATATAAGTGAAATATTACAAAGCAGTCTTAATACTGTAAAATTTGATCTTAAAATTTGTATGTTGAAATACCATCAATTATTTATTAAGTACTATTTATTTAAGTTAAATTATATATAAATTTTATAAATTTATTATATACCGGTAAGTGGTTTTTTTAACGTACAATAAATTATTATTTTAGAAATCGGGCGAATTTTTCTTAGAACTAGACAAGGTCTTAGGTTAACCATGACGCATGATTACCGTCAACTTTCGTATACTAATTAAATTACAGAAAATATAGATAAAAGTCTTCTTTTGTCGATTATTTTAATATGTCAAGAAGAATTCTAAATCGTACGCCCATGCTCATAAGTTCTAAGCTGAAATATTTCATACAATTAACAATCTTCTGAGTAACAACAACTTCGTTTCCATCGATATCAATCAGCTCAGGATCATAACTGATTATGAAATCGAATTTAAATCAAATTTGAGGTCCCCTTATAACCAATGTTTATGTCCATTATAAATTTGAATTTATTTATTATCGTATTGCTTATTTATTGATACATATTTTCGGATGCAAACAATACATCACTGACCCGGGTGGGAGCAATTTTCGATCCGTGACCCGTACGGGTCACCAGCAGCCACTTATTTGTGCGAGTAATACAAACTTCTAAAAAGGAAATGGCCAATCAGAGAACAGAAATTTTGGTTTTCCGGATCAGTCCGACATAGAATCCGAACACGTGCAAAAGAAGAAAAAAAGAAAAGAAAGCGAAAATACTCAAAAACTAGTGTTTAAATCGATCGACCTTGGTGAATTAATAAAAAATAACAGAAATGAAATTTTACATATAAAAAACTTTAACTTATTGCTAAAGCTCACAACCCTAACGTCCTAATCCTAAACTTCTATTTTTACGCACTTGGTTTATTTACAAAATTCGATTTCCTTTTTGGTTTTGTGTTAATCGCAGAAATAAGTAAATCGCTAGTGTATGGCCTGGTGCCAATGTGCCTGGCATGCCTATTTGCTGACCCCTACTATTTATATTATTTTAACTTTGATTTATCATTACATAATGTGATAATTATGAATTTGTGTTACAAAATTTATGAAAAAAAAGAAAAAAAAAATTAAAGAAAAAAAAAATTTAAAAAAAAAATTTTAAAGAAAAAAAAAATTTTTAAAGGAAAAAAAATATATATATTTAAAGAAAAAAAAATTTTAACAACTAAAAAAAAATTACTAAAAAAGAAAAAAAAAATGTTTACAAATTATTTAAACTGCCTTATTAAAATAAAGTAAGTTTAACATTAACAAAGAATCTTGTGAAAGATTATATTGCTTATTACTTAAAATATTTTTATAATTGCTAAAACTCCATTCTGCAAAAACACCAGATATAGATAACTAAATATAAAATAATACAATTTTTAAAAAAGATGATAAATTGTTAGATTTTTTTTTTCAATATTTATCCAAGTTTAAGTTATTATCTAATTCTTTACCAAGTTTGCAATAAATATTCCATTCATTTAACAAGTCATTATTTAAATTTTTAAATTTTTCTATTGTGATATAATATTTAATATCTTGTCATGATGTTGAATACCAAATAAATTTAGAATCAAAGCATTGTATAGCATTAAAAAGTAATAATGCAGAATGGCTATCAATATGTTTTGTAAGCTTGTTAAATAATAATTAAAAGCTTGTAAAAAAATTGAGTTAAAGAATATTAAATTTAGATTCTTTTCTTGAATCTTGTTGTATATAAATGTATTAAATAGTAGATTTTTGATACCCACTTGTAATATAGTGCAAGTCTGACTAATTTATAAAAAAACATAAGAGGCAACAGGTTTATTGCATATTTTAAAGAATTTCAAATTCTAAATTAAGCTAATTAATATACTTATTAATAATTATATACTGTAATTCTATATATATATAATATTATATATAATATTCTTACTATTGAGCATTTAAGGAAATAAATTTAATAATTAA